ACATTTGGTCCACGTTGACTAGTGAGCAAACACCACTAGCCATGGACTGGGAAAAATATGGAATTTATATTGTCCCTTCAGCCCCCCCCCCCTTAATTTCCTAGAAAATTTCTTTACAGAAGACACTAAAGTAGAATTGCCACCTCTGGAAAATCTTAAGTCCACATACGGCACATCATAAGCTGTGGTTCCATTATTAAGCGTTTGAAGAAAAGAGAGTCTACTTATACTGGGCTGCATCACATTTGAGGTAATATTAAAAAAAAATAATTAAAACTAAATAGTACTGAGGTGGGAACTATACCTTCTCTGATTTTTTAAAAACTTTTTTTTTAATAATTGCTCTACATTTCTGGTATGTAGTATCTGTGTGTGATGAGAGAATCCCATGTCAATGGAACTTTCCCAGCTACCAGAGTCACAAACTCTGAACTGCAACAAAATATATGTTATGCTAGAAAAAACAAGTCACAATTTGGATGAGTGGTCAATTTCAAATTAGTTAATAGTTTGCAGTCTTTTTTCCCCCCAACATTATTCTTTATAGTATGAGAAAAAAACATATAATCAATTGTAATTTTGCATAATATATAACCACTTTAACACTGAAATACATTGGATAAAACATTAAGGTGCTTACAATAAATATTTTTATATAAACAGATTGTAGCAAAGATAACTTACTTTAGTGAGGCCATAATGCATCAAAGTAGTCATCACACAAAAATTTACAAGGAAAACATAAAACAATAAGCGTTTTTTCTTTTGCTTTTAATATACCTATTCATTCTTTGGACAATGTATTCTGTCACCCAGAAAGTGTGGAATACTGCTAGACGTACAAGAAAACTACTGAATATATTGCAGCAACAAGCACAATATCCACGTGGACTTAATACATTGTGCATTTGAGAGGAGGATTTGGCCCACTAAATCCAAGTCTAACAGTTCACAATGTGTGTGTGAATTGTTGTGCCCACATGTTGAAAAGTTTAACACAGAAATTGAACTTAGTTTTACCATAATTTAATTTGGAGCCTTTACAGTTGACATTTAATGCACTGCTGGGAATTTCCAGCCACTGTTGCCCTTAACTAATTTATCATTTAAAAAAAAAATCTTCATATGCAGTGTTTTTTGGGATTTTTTTAATCACAAATAGATTTTTATTACAATTTGTCTTTCCTATGCAGAATGACAGGGCTATACTTTTAGTACCTCTGTTGTTTGTTCTTTTTGTTACTTTATTATATATTATCTTGGAAAAAGACCTCTGTAAAATGTAAAATATTGGAAAGATTGTTAGTTTTGTAGGGCTTGATCTAGCAAACACCTATGTAGTACTTTTTGCTGGCCATAATCCCATTGAACTCAAATGAAGTAGTGAACATTACCGCTGGAATTTTCAAAGAGGCCTAAAGAAGTTAGGCACCCAATTCTTACTGAAAGTCAGTATGATTTGTCCATCTAACTCCCTTAGGCCCATTTGAAAATCTCCGCCTACACCAACTAGTAAGTGTATAAGTTTGGGCCCTCAGATACTTAGGCTTTGATCATGAAACGCTATTAAAACGTGTGACTTACTGATATACACATGATTATTCAATGCTTTGCAGGATCAGGATTTATGGTCTTAATCCTACAGTGTTTTGCACTGGCACAGCTTTGCAATGTCTCATTGAAGTAAATGGGACACCATCACAGACACAAGGATCTAAGCAAGCTGTTCTTTTGGTAAGGTCAAGGCCTATATGATTTTTATTTTGTGAATATGTATAATAGATTACTTCAAATTTAATACTGAAAAGTAACATTATTTGCTAAATAAACTTTATTTTAAACATGCCCTTTACTGAGCCATTGTCTTTTCTCTCAAAATGTAATTGAGTCTGCATCTCCTCTTGCCCTCAAAAGATAAATGGAACAGTTGCATGCGTATCTGCTCAGTTACATTCAGCAAAATTTCTAACTATGAATTGCCAGGACCCTGGAAATTAAACAGGCATTTAAAAACTGAATTAACCATATTCTGTATAAGGTGCTTTCTTAGGTAAACTAAGAAAGTGAATAACTCTCGTTTCTGAATTTTCAGTGGTTTCTAAATCTGTTAGAAGTTTGAAAATAAAATGTCTTTCTACAATATTTAACCTTTTAATTCAGGCAAATATGGATTGATCTCCCCATGCGTGCTCAGTGTTTCATGATGATTGTTTTTCTGCCACTGTTATCAGTGATGTTAGCACAACTCAAGGAATTGTGTTAGCTAAGTACTACTGTAGCACCTGCAGAAGGAGCACGAGAGCATCGCAATTATGTGCGTGGTGTGAATTTTTAAAGTGATGGATATAGTAATGTATGCTTTTCAAATGGATATTTAGAATAATGTATCACCTTTAAAGATTCGGATTTGGCAGCTTCAAGACAGAGTAATTTTCTTACCCAAATTACGTTTTGGCCTATTTTAACCCTGGAAGGGGAGAATGACAGGACAGATTAATCAAAGTCCAGAAAACTCTAGGCCTTAATCCTGCAAACTCCAAAGCATGTGTATAACTTTATTTAAGTGAGTAGCCCCATTGATGTCACAGGACTACTTGCATTAATAAAGTTACACATGTGCTTAAGTGTTTGCAGAATTGGCGACTTAATTTAGAAATCTGTAGAGCTCCAGAATTAAGTAGGTCAAATTTTGAAGCTAAACTGTTTGGCAGTGCCTCTCTAAGCAGAAAATACTTCCAGTTCTTTTTTCTCTGATGCTGTGAGCACAAATAGGGTGACATTCCAGCAGCTTTTAATACAAGTTTTCCCCCAAAACTTAATTTCCGTTTTAGTGCAGTGAATTGAATACACAAACTGTTGAATGGAATGCACAAAAAGTGCTGCAACATAGTTCTTCCTGAGTATAAACAATCTATCATCATTTGTGCTACGAGCCAATACCTTTTGGTATAATGTATTTCTAGTAAGATGTAAAGAAGCTCCATTAGACAAGTAGTACTCAATTTTGCACAGCACAAAAGCTCCTCTGTGATCCAATAGAACGGCAGAGAGCCACAATATAATTTTGCAAAAAGAAAAGGAGGACTTGTGGCACCTTAGAGACTAACCAATTAATTTGAGCATAAGCTTTCGTCATGAAAGCTTATGCTCAAATTAATGTGTTAGTCTCTAAGGTGCCACAAGTCCTCCTTTTCTTTTTGCGGATACAGACTAACATGGCTGCTACTCTGAAATATAATTCCGGAGAGAAGTTAGTTCTCACATTGTGATGAGATTAGAGTTGTTGCATTGAAGTGGCCCTGTCTTCACAGTGATGAAACCTCATGGTGCAGACATCACAATACTATGTCAAGACATTGCCCCACAATTTATTCTGTGCCTTTCTGCAGCTCCTTTTGATGCAACAGTTTTTCTTTCCCCTCACACCTCTATTTCCTGCCAGCTATTAACAAAGGAGTAACGAACCCTTCAGTTTTTCTCCTATCATCCTTGTTTGGATGGTCAAGAAGGCATCCTGCCAACTCTGGTACATTTACGTAGCTCTCCCCATTCTTCCTTGTATATTGGGCAGCTTGGCAAGCTCTCCTGTATTTCTCACTCTACTCTCTTTGCCTGTGAGTAGGTAGAGTAAGAGGCATGTCAGTCAAACCTGTGGACTGCCTGATAGGGCCATAAAGAGTCTCTTTAGGAAGGCTTTGGCGTCAGGGGTTTTCGACTTGCGGTCTGTGGACCTTTGGGGTTCTGCAGACTATGTCTAAGATTTCCAAAGGGGTCTGCACCTCCATATAAAATTTTTAAGGGTCTGCAAATGGAAACAGGTTGAAAACCACTGCACTAGACCATTCAGATGCAAAATTTATATAGCACTTAATTTGAAATAGGTGTGTTATTCCATGAGACAAAGGTGGTTTCACTTACTATGGATATTATTTTTCTGACATAATCATCCACAAAGGATTATGATTTGGTATTCTGTCCAGACCCTTCCTCTACATACAAAAATTGTTCCCTGGTATTTTCTGCCGCTCTGTTTTTCCTCTTCCAGAATCAGGTCTAGCTATTTTAAAATACAATTTCTGTCTCATTTGAAATGATTTGAAAAGTTCTTGACACCATACTTTTAATAACCATTTCAAATCCTATTTTAATAGAAAGTATCCAATAAAAAGGTACTTAACAAAAATATTGTGGCTGGTTCTCTGTGTTTGTTCTTCAATATCTTGATTCAAAGGTTGTGTAATACCTCCACCTCCTCAGCCCATCTGGATAAAAATAGGGACTAAATATGAATAATTTTCCAGCCACATAAAAATTCTACTAAATTGTTGGTTTTATTTTTTAAAAAAAGGTTTTGATTTCTTTTTAAACACAGTAAAATGTGTGCAACTTCCTGCTACAGTGTATTTATTGCTTTTTGTTTTAATTTGTCAGGAGGCTAATCCTCTTATAGTTTTTGCATAGTTTGCAGTATATGTGTGTCTTTCTGACAAACTCCAAACTTTCTTTTGAGGAGGTTGTGAAAATGTTTTTAATATGTACATTTTCTGTAGTGATCTGCCGCAGAAGTTGTGGACATCACTAACTTCAGAAAAGTGTTTGGAGAAGATTTTATTTCTGTATGCCTTGACTTACGCATTAAGTTGTAAATATCTTTCATAAAAATATTTGACAGTTGTTTCTTTTCTCCAGATGCTAATTTGGTTTATGAAAATATAAAAGATGGATGGCTTGATTAAGCTGTTGATGGCTATATTGGTCAACATCACTTTGTCTTTAAGCTAGTGAACCATATTTTTTTCAACATTTAAAAAAATACGCTACCAGTAGTATTTGAGCGGTCTTGAATTTCCTGCAGCCCAGTTCTGGGAAAAAAAGATAGTTCTCATTCAAATGGACACAGTTCTGATTTATTTTACCTGAAGGTGCTAAGAGTAAGTAAAACAGTGTGACTGTTAAGACTGTTTTGGGACAAAAATAATGTAACTGGGTTGTTTTGTGGTTCACACTAGTGCTATAGGCTTGGATCCAGAATTATTCAAGTAGGCTGTGGACACTGTATCCAATTCCATAAAGGCAGAGTAAAGCGTAGTGAGTTGTAAGTCAGGTAAGCTGCTATGTGGATTGCTATTCTGGGTGGTGAGGTTATTGCTGCTGTTACTATCCATCTGATAGTGAGAAGGGAAGCACTGAGAGGATATTGGGGATGTTGAAATGAGAACCAAGGGATCCACAGCCAGGCTGTCATCTTTCAGTTCTTCCCAAAGATTTCCTATAACAAAAAACAAAACCAACACACTGATGTAGTCTTTGGCTTTCGTGTGTGTGTGTGTGTTTGCTTTTGTTTCTTTTTCTTTTAAGAGTGAGTCCACTCTTGGTGCATCATGTCTACTGCTGAGCACTTGTGAGATAAAACGGACAGCAAGAACTGTTTTACATCATCAGCTGACAAATTCCCATTCAGCGGCATGTATACTTCCATTTAAAACACATTTCTAGCACGTATTGTCATGAACATGCCTTTGAAAAGGTGAACTGATGAATTTTCAACTATACCTAGCAACAGCTTTTAAAAGTGCAAACTGCCCCCCGTTCATCTCAGCAGGGTGTTGGTTTTTCAACTAATGATGATGCTTTGAGTATGTCTACACTTTAAGATTTGGGGTGTGATTCCTAGCTTGAGGAGACATACATTAGCTCTAATGAAACTAAGGCTTGGTCTACGCTAGCAACTTTTGTCGGTATAACTAGGTCGCCTGGGATGTGGAAAACCACATCCTTGAGCGACAACACAGTTCTACTGACCTGTAGACAGTGTTATGCCAATGGGAGGTGGATTACCTATGCCAGTGGGAGAAGCCCTCTCGTTGGCTTAGGTAGCAGCTTCACTGAAGTGCTATAGCAGCAGCTGCGCCACTGCAGCCTTGTAAGTGTAGACAGGCCCTTAAAATCAGGTGTAGCTGCAGCCTGGCAAGTGATGGGAGGAGCTCGCGTGGGTGGAAATCATGCCCTCAGCTCCGTGTAGACGAAACTGCAGTGGGACAGACTTTCAGATAATGTTGGTGCACAATTGTGTGCTTAATCTGCACATGGCGTTTACTGCAGTTATGTGGTCAGATCAAGTAACGGCATGTATAAATGGTCAAATAAGCAAACATCAGAAATGCTGCTTGTCCTGAAGATGTACACTGCCATTTCTCACCGAATGATGCAGAACACAAAGGTGACACTAACTAAAAGTTTAGCTACTGCATGAGGGCCATATTCTCTGCTCGCTTTTTGTGGGAGACTTTCTGTGAATATGGGGGAGCGTATCTCCCTAAACTTGTAAGCACGGTTTATGCATCTTAATGTGAAATATAATTTACCCCTCTTCCTAGAATAAGTTTGACATACTCCATGTAAATGAAGACAGAATTTGCCTTAAGTTTGTGAGATGTTTGACAACAAGTCCCATTTATTAGACAGTGAACCCCAAACCTAAGGCCAGATCATTTTGTAGAATAAAACAGGCCATAGAGTAGAGAAAGGGAAGTAATTTAAGATGGAATGGCTGAAAAATCTGTGCAACAGCAGGGCTGGTGCTTGGTGGCATCATGCCAGGGGGGTCAAAGGGACAGAGTGCAGGGAACACAAATATGTGCATACACAAAATAAGATATTTAGAAAGGTTCAGGAGCCAAGAGAGAGGCATGAACTGTTGAATTTTGTATTTGGAAATGTGCAGAATGGTGCACTTAAAAATCCACCTGTTTAGTCATCAGTAACTAAAGGAGAAATCTATACCCTACAGGGTTTTTTGACCATTTGGAGACCGTCTGGCAGCTTCTGATACCATTGTTCCCTGTTTCCTTTGATCTTGTTGTCAATGGAGCTGGAACAATATTTTGCACAGTGCCTTGCCGTAATAATGATGTGCACTCAACCCTATTGGATCCACAGGCTTGCACTGTGCCTCTTCCATTTCTACTGCTGCATTCTATTTTTGTTGTATTTCCATGAGGATGTTTGGTATGCCTCTTGTCCCCTGCAGCTGGGCAAAACCTACCCTTCCTATGGCATGATCCAGCAGGAGCTCTACAGCCTCTAAGCTGGAGATTTTTCACCTAACTTTGGCTCTTCCACTAATCATTATTTTTGCAGTGGAAGGGTGATTTGGGCCTTGAGCACTATATCTAGTCAAATGAAGATTTGTTTGGCTGAGAACAGGAGCTCTGATGTCTGCAATACACAATCATTTCAGCAAACTTTACCAAGTGTAGGAGGTCAGTGAAGTGATCACTCAAACATCTGTGGTAAATTGTATACAGAGTAAGTTGCATTTTTTTAAAATTTTTTTTAGCAAAAAAATGGAAGAGGATTGTAACAATAATGGTGAATGCAACCAAAAATTATGAACCATGCACTCAAATAAAAACATGTTTTCTTGTTCTCATGTGATATTGTATCTGACATTCATCTAATAACTATGTCTAGGATACTTTTTACTTAGGAAATATGTGTGATGAGGTGGAGGGCTACATTTGACATATTGCATTACAGTATTTAGGGACCACAGAGTTTGCAGGGAGTAAACCATTTTCCAAGTTCTGGTTCTAAATTATGTCTTCTCTAGGTAACAGTCTCTATAAGTAATATTAAGTTCTATACTGCATGAGATAATGAATCTTAGTGAACTGCTTTTCTCTGGCTGTGGAAAGGACAAGTAGCCCAAGAAAAGAACTAATGGTCACTTGTCTAGTCATTGCTTTTTCATGCATGCAAGGAGAAAAGGAGATTTCTTCTATGGTTAGTTCTTGATATCATAAGTGCACAAATAGCAAATAAACATTTAGTGGAATATCAGGCACTTACCTTGGAGATCAAAGTCAATCAGGGAAGGGTTAAGAGCATCAATATCATTGCTCATGTCTGCTTCTTGCATGAGTGTGTCCTGCATTGTCCTGGCTGTGGAGTGCTCTGTCAACATCTTCATACCATGTATGGGAGGGGTCTGGGCTGGCAAGGGTGAGTCTTGGGTGGTGCTAGGTTGTGCTCTGAGTTCAATTTGAGTATCTGCAGAAGGGAAGATGCTCTGAGGGATACCAGGTGATTGTTGCATTAAGGTAGGTGAGATCTGAGGGAAAACCTGTGGTGATGTATAACATGGAGTTTGGTGCCCTCCAAGCAAACTTGGTAGTGCGTTCTTGGCACGTAGAGGTCCTGTTGTGTGAATGGTGTGTAAAGGCTGTTGGATATTAGACGACGGGGATGACTCAGACAGAGAATGGGGCTGGACTGACATCTGTCTGGAAACTGCTGAACTTGCCACACCAGTTGGATTGCAGGACACGATTGAAGATCTTAGTTTTTCAGCCTTGTCTCCTATCAATGTGTCAAGTTCTTCTAAAAGACAAAAACAGAACAAAACCAAATTACAATTTGATGTAATACTGTTAATGCCTACCCAACATTGAGCTTGTGTGAGTCTGCCTAGGTTGCAACTGGAATTTTAAGTGTTGCTCAGAAAATGAACACGAGATGAAAATGCCAATCTTAAAACAGCAATGAAATTGGTACCTAGTGTGGAAACACAGACCCAGGTAGTACCCATAAATCTCAAGTGAGTATTTCATAAAGTATTTTTTTTTATTTAAAGATGGGATAGTCGCATGCTAAATAACCCCAAGTTTTATTCCTCAGTGCTTAACTCTGTCTCTTTTATATCAAAGATTAGACAGATGTCAAGGGAGATACATCTTTCACTGAAATGATAGGGAATACACCTCTAAGCTCCAGAGTGCCTTTTGATCTGTAGCATTATAAATATTTGGAAGTCTCTCAGCAAAAACAGCTGTTACTCTAGCTCTAATCCTACATTTCTGTGCTGCCAACCATTTAATAAGCAAGAGGCCTTGGACATGGATCATGTCCCTTCCCAGCACCCAAATCCTCTTCTATTGCTTGATTCTCAAAATATTTATACCGCCTGCTGCTAAGAAGGGTTCTGTGGATCACTGTTTGAGAACTAATGCGCTAGCATATTACTAACCTGGCTTTGCCATACTCTTCCTCACAGCAACTGGATCTTTCCTCTTCCATTTCTGAAGCTCTTCCTGCATCTTATCAATTTTGGCTGGATTCAGTGCCCACAAACAGCCTTTCCGAGAAGAGCCACCTGACTTGTTTTCAACTTTCTCAAAGCATTTGTTCAAGGATAAGTTATGGCGTACAGAGTTCTTCCAACCATCTGGAGCTGTCTGGAAAAACAAATTCAAACTAAGAAGTGAACTGGAAGATAGATTCCCAAATATATCTCTACGGTGTCTCCAGTTCTCTGCTGAAAGGATAGCTTTGTGTATTGTTAATGAAGGTAAAGAACTGTTAACACACAGTGGTTTGAAAGAGAGGCTGCCCAAAGAAATTAGAGCTGGAAAAGGGCCAATAGTTCAGATCTATTCATTTCCCAAAGGGACTTTCACAAGATTGTTTCCAGGCATGTATTTGCCTATGCTTTGTTTGACCAGTTTAGTTTTCAAAGATCCCAGCAATGATTCTTTCACCACCTCCCTTAAGAATTTGTTCCACAATCTTATGTAGAACTCACTGTCAGGAACATTTTTCTGATAGGAACTTTTCAAGAGTAGAAACTTACGATTACTCATTCCCATTCTCAAGCCGATTTTTTTATGAAGAGTAGTTACATGATAATGTCCAGTATTTTACAATGGATGAAAAGAACGGTTGGATTCTTAGTGATCACATATGGTCAGACAGAACCTCTCTTTTACCAAAAGGCCTTCCTTCTAGAAGCACAACATCCTTTACCCATCCAAGAGATGCTCAGTTCTACTTATCGTAAGTGGGGCATTGGTTCAGTACTGATTCACAGAGAATAATGTCACATGTGGAGGGTATGTTCCAAAGACCATTGAAGTCAATGGAAAGACCTCCATTGACGCCAGTGGACTTTCAGTTAGGCCTATTATCACTTCCTGCAGCACCCTCAGTTTTGTGATTTTTTTTTAGTTTTGTTTTGTTTTTTTGGGGTCTGCTGTCCTAGTACTGACCAGCTCTTCTTCATGAGATTTGCAAGTTCATAGCTCAAAGCAGTAAGGCTGCATGCCAGATCAAAAGGGTGAGACTAGAATAAACCCATGACTTTTCACATGGCTGTACCTAGCACTGACAAAGAAGTTTGCCCTTCATTTTGTTTAACGTTTTAAAGTGCTTTTGAAATCATATTTAGGTAGAGATTTTGGCTGATAATAGTTGTGTTGCTTCTTCTTTTTGGATTACAAGGACAATATGCCAGAGGTTAGCAGTGATGGAAAAACATGACATTTTAAGATGCAAGGAAGTTTATGAGACAGTCACCAAGTTCCAGCTAGCAGTTTTTGCACAGCAGTGGCCACTGGAGCATTCAATAGTGAGGTTACAAAAATCAAAAGAAGAATTAACTATACAAAGAAGGTGCATCTTTAGTCCACTTCAGAACATCTAGAAAAAATTCAAGCAAATAACCAAATGGCTACACATTACTTGGATTTCGCCTGAGTGTCACAATAGACATCAAATAGGACTTAGCTTGTTATTGTGGGTGTAATTTTGTGTGTTAGCAAATTGTATAACTATTAGGCTGAGTCAGAAGTCTTCCAGATGAGACAAAACAGTTTCCTCACACCTGACTATTGTCTTTTTTTCACCTTTATTTTTAAGGCAATTGTTGAAATTGGGAGGTTCTTAGTTTGAACAATACATATAATTGTTTCAATAAAATAACACCCTCCCCTCCCTGCCATTTTTATTCAAGCACTCTCTGATCAGTGAGATAAAAACCGTTCCCTCCTTGCCCTGAGGGAAAATTTTGCACTTAATCACAAAGACTCGGAGAGAGTAGAAGGAAAAAACCTACAGTAGAAGCAGATTTTTCTCCATTGTATAGGCCTAGAAATGCAAAACAAGAAGAAACATTTCTATCTGACATTCTATCTGACATTTACTTACAGGTATAACTTCACATACTGGATTTTTTTCATCACTGTCTATTTAGAACTGAAGTTTGAAAAGAGAAGTGGATTCATCTTCCTTTGCCAGGGCAGAGTTTTTCATGTTGGAGACTTAGTCATCCCAGAAATCAGCTTTTGTTTTGTCTTTGTTACTTGATATCAAATGTGAAAAAGTGTTTTTTAGGGGGCATCGTTCCATATTTCCATGAGGGATATACACAGTAAAACTTTGCTGAGAGATATTTAACTGGTAACTGATCTGGAATATGGTTATTGGAACTAATTAGCACTGTTCTCTTTTACTCTGTAAAAGTTTTGCTTTTGTTTTTTAGTTTTATTATACCACTGGTTTCTGATTTTTGGAGACATGGATTCAATAGTTATTTAAAATTTGTATATAACCCAACCGTTAAGTATCACTCTTACTTCTCTAAACCACTTCTGTACATTTTGGATTCATCTCTGCATCCTTATTCCCACAGTCCTGAATCACCTCTTGCTCTCCTTCACCTAGCAAGGGAACACAGTGATTTATATGTGAGGCATCAGTATTCATCTACTGCTTTCTAAAGCAGGAATATTTATTTGCATGGGCCATTGGCATCAAAAGCCTCTTATGTCAATCTCTGATACGTGTTACTTTTCCACTCTTGGCTTGGTAGGTACTACATGATAATGCTAGGTTTCAGAGTAACAGCCGTGTTAGTCTGTATTCGCAAAAAGAAAAGGAGTACTTGTGGCACCTTAGAGACTAACCAATTTATTTGAGCATAAGCTCAGCTCACGAAAGCTTATGCTCAAATAAACTGGTTAGTCTCTAAGGTGCCACAAGTACTTCTTATCTTTTTACATGATAATGCTGTCTGCTTTATTTACTGCACCGGGGCCAAAACCTATATTAGCTCATTGCCAGTTGGGCATAATCTTAAAAAAAGGTGCTCAATGCATAATGGTGGATCTCAACCTGAGACACTCAGCTGTAAGATGATAGATGCAGCCATTAGCCCCGCTGCTCAGCCTTCTTCCTTGGTCACTATAGAACCAATAAAAAATAAAGAACATGCAGCTTCACATATGCCTGTCAGCTAGCAACTCAAATGATCCTTTCCCCAAAAGTTCTGTGCTTGTGGAGAGGAAACAAGAAATTGATGTTGAAAACAGGCTTTGCACTCAGCATATTATAAAGGAAGATTATTACTATTATTAATGCTGGTAGGCATGAAGCCATTTTCTGTGCAACAACTATGGATAACTTTTTTCACTGTCTCATCCTCTGAATATCAGAGTTTGAAAATGAAACCCTTCTATACAAGATGTGCACACTCGTGCATATGCCCTGACTGATCCATGTTCAGAATATGCTTCATATAAATTGCTCAGGATAAGTTGACAAACTTATCTATGAGAGAGAGAGTAGTGTAAGAAAAAAATCTTTCTTTGCCTTAATTTTTAACCTCTTTTTAAAACTTCTTGTTGATATAAATTAAGTTCCCTCTAGATTCTCAAATCTCACAAACATGGACATTTTTCACACAAAAAGCTGTCCTGCTTATTGGGTTTGTGACATTTGCCTAGTATTAAAGATGACCGGCAAAGGAATTTTTAAAAATGGGGCTCGTGCCCAATTTTTCCCTTATGATGTATAATGAAGGCCTGAAAGATTTGTGGGGGAGGAGGGTTGTTAGTTTTGTTTTGCTTGTATCAGGAATCTAAAATTTGGTTTTCCTTAGCTTTGTTGGAGGACAACTGAGTGGTATAAGGATTATTTACTGAGTATCCTTGACATCTTAATTGAATGGGTGAGGATGTTGGATCTTTAACAAGGGCTTCTTTTATTCAAAATATTAATTAGTGACAGAGGTTAAATAGATGTTAACAAAAACAAAAACACAGTGTGTTAACCAATCTGAAAAAAATCCATTCCCTTCTTAATAGCTCACTTTCACTTTCTTGGCTCATGTGACATCACCATTTTATTAGTTCATCAGTCATCAGAGTCTTCAGGGTGAGTGAGGACTTTAATTCTAATGTTAAAAAACAAGCAGAAAAACTGAGCTGTCTTTATTCACCACAAAGCAGCAAATGGGGAAGCAGCCCAATTTTGTTCCACTTTGCAAGTCATCTTTAAGTTGATGCCAACCAATTCCAAATATAAACAATAAAGATGTTCCCCTTACATCCAGTGTATACTTGATAGTGAATGATATAGCTTTTTAAAAAGCAGAACATGAGATTTTTATTTCTAGCCCTATAAATGAAAGATTATATGTCTGCCCTGTTCCTACCTAGTAAGGATAATTAATGTTTCTGCTCAGCAGTAGAGAAAGTAGGGAGTGGCATATGCTTCCCAGAGGTTTTCAGAGAGGGTGGGGCACATGCTTTGAAATAATTTTAGGAACATCTAAAACAAAAAAGTATTAGTAAGAGGACCGGCTCTGAAGAGTGATGCCAGGTGATGAATTGATTCTGACATCAAGATCTCAAAGATGCTTGTCGGGGAAAATCCAACACTTTACCCAGTTCAGTTGTCAGAATGGTCCAACAATGTGTTAATGAGTCATCTTCTCTTGGTAACTGTTTTTTTTTTAAGTTAAGACTTTTCTTGTCCAGTATTAACGAGCTTTGATCATAGAATCATAGAATATCAGAAAAGCAGGACCCATACCCAATTAAATCATCCCAGCCAGGGCTTTATCAAGCCTGACCTTAAAAACTTCTAAGGAAGGAGATTCCACCACCTCCCTACCACCTCACCAAAGCTGCTGTTCTACAGTTGAAACCTGGTAACTAACTGGCTCCTGTCTCACACTGAGCAGTATGGTGGGAGGGAGCATGGAATTTAAGAGAGGGAAAATACCTTGTGTTATGATCCCATCAGACCACAAACTTTTCTAACCTCTCACACCACTGACGGTATTTTTATCTCCAATTTATATATACATAAACTAATGTTACTCTGCACAGACCCATTGATCCTGACCGCCTCTTGAAGTTTAAAGAGTTTTATGATCTTGCAAAACTCTTTCTTTTTAAATCTGGCTCTCAAGAGAAGGGAGAGGTACTTCAAAGAGAAATTCCACTTTAGCTGTGTGAATGTTTTTTAGTACGTAGGAGGTGGATTGCTCTGTTTCAACTAGAAATGAGACTGTTGCATCATAGAAATTGCATTTGCTGTGGCAGTGAGTAGAAGTTAATTTGACTGGGCTTGTGTCATCTAATATTTCCCAGCAAGATCCCATGTGCATTTGTACTATATGGTTTCTCCCCAACTGTAATTGCTTCCCCACCCCTTGGCTCCATGTTCTGGTAACTACTGAGTGATTTTTGATAGAAAAAACAAAAACTATTTTTGTGTGACTGCTGAGGATAACATATAAACGGAACTACTCCACAAGGATCTTGAGGAAGACTTCCAAAGAGAGCAAGTAGTTCAATAGGGCAGTAACCTATCGTATGGTGGATGATTCTGGTAATTTTATAGATTAGATAGAGCTATGGCTGATTGCCCAAAAGTAAAAGATACAGTTCTTTTGTTTTCAGTTTATTTTAAGGATGTTTGGGATGAAATTATGGAATTTAGTTGACTATAAAACTAAGGTGCAAAAAGATTCTTCTTGCAAAATGTGTGATTGTCTCAGAAGTACCCTCTGTCATTTTACTGATAGCACACTTGGATTGATTGGAGGAGGAGAACCTCATTCTCATTGTGGTTTTTAAGTGACTTAAGTGAGGGGACACAAGGATATGAGTAAAGAACTGTTCACACTCCAGGGAGTTGAGTTAACATCTTGTGGAGTTATGAATGGGAGGGAAAGGTATCAGAAATAGCACTTTCTCTCTGACTGTTACTGGAGTGGGGAATTGATGGTCAAAGGCTGTAGGGGAATATATGCAGAAAAATGTGTTTAAGGAAAGGATGGATGTTTCACTGCCATTTTACACTATATCAGGAACACATTCAAGGGGCAGGAACAGGAATAAGGACTTAGTGGAGCAAGGTTCTCTCACTCCTAAGAATTCTATGTATTTATGCTGGTAATAGCAGCATTGGGTCTGGAACAGCTTCTTTTATTAATCTGGTGTGAAGCATAAGGCATTGTAACTTCAAACTAGTGAATAAATACAGGAGTGTTTATGGTTATGTTTATAAAATATATATTTTTATATGTTTTTAATAAACTGACTTTTTGATTTGAAATGTACTGATTTTATTCTTCAAGAAAATAATATAGTCCTCAAATAAAGATGCAATACTTGGCTTTAGATCACACAATTTGTGCATTGTGCCATGAGGCATCATAGTTTAGCATGCTATTAATTCATGTACCTGTTCATGTACCTGGTGTTAAAAATAAGGGGAAGGCGACTGTCATTTTATTAGAGAACAAATTCAAGACTCTGAATTACTCCTTGATTTGGAGCAGCATATTTTGTCTAACTTTTAGATTCTTTGTGATTTGCCTTAAAACCAAAAAAAACCAAAACACTTTTCCAGGTCACTGTCATGTTGTTCAATTTCCTGTTTGTTTTTGGCCAAATATCTGAATCCCTTGTGACATAACAGTATAAAATAAGAGTGCATATTGCATTAAACTCTATTATAAAGATGCTGGTGGGGATTGACTCGGGACTAATGCTGTGACAGCAAGTCTAATGCCAGCCCTGCCAACCCCATTAAAACGGGGTCGCAACCCACTTTGGGGTCCTGCTCCACAGTTTGAGAACCGCTGTCCCTATATAATACCCATCCCTTCTGCATAGGCCTAGGGTAGTATGTTGAGTACACACTAGACTGCTGGACTAGGCAGAGGTGCCAAACTTTTTTTTTTTTTCTGGCTGTATCCTCCTTCGGAGATTCGTGTCCTATGCGCCCCCTCCCATCTGCCATGGAAGACAGGAGAGCGGTAGCCCAGGCATCTAAACTTGCAGTTATTTTATACTGTTATGTCACAGGGGATTCAGATATTTGGAGAGAGGGAGGCAGGGGTTGAGTTGCATGGAAAGATGCAGGGGGTGGCAGGTGCTGGGTGCCTGCAGGAAATAGGGAGGCAGGGGCATTCCTGGTTCGTTGCCCTCCTTTTTCCCCAATGCACACCTCTGTCTGAAGCGGTTTTGCCTAGCTGCCTCCCGTTCTTATCTGCTGCTCCAGTGAGACCATTTTGCAGCTGCCAAGGAGACTCTGCCTCCTGTGTGCTGCTGCTTTCCAACAGCATGAAGCTACAGCCTACAACAAGACCCACCAGGCACGCACCAAATCTGGCTCCCCTGCAGTGCAGGCACTCAAGGCTGCCTACCTGACCTGAACTTGAGCAGAGCCCCCTCCCTGAGCACAGTGAAGTGGTGGCTACAGCCTCCTAATGGTGTCACTAGATGGGGCCTGTGGCAGCTGAGTTGGAAGTGTCCGTGCTCTGTGCTGCTTGTGGCCCCTGATAACCACAGTGTGTTTACACTTCCCTCCACCTCACCTCCCCACCCCCACCCCAGTTTGAAAACCAAAGGGCTAGGAGACGTATACTATGTCAAGGGTTAGATATTACTCTTATATTCTAACAAGAAAACTATCCATTTCAGTAGAATGGACCTGGTCTCTTACCCTGTGCTGACAAGCAGATCTCAAGGAAATGGGGAAGCAGAAAGGTATTGTAAGCAATTTTTAAAATGATGAGCTCACCTTAAAGTAAGGAAAGTGTTCCGTCATGAAATTGTAAATCTCACTGACCGGGAGACTCCCTGTTTTGCTGTTTTTGAGCGCCATGAAGATCAGGATGCTTTGGGAACAAAGAAGAAACAATGACCTTTACTGATAGCTTCACATTTCAGCCTGTATTATTTGATTTCTCAGTAATAGAAAAAAAGACAGAACTTTACAGCATGTGCAACTCCTTTGTTTGCTCTTCCCTGTAATAAGATGAATCCTGGTGATTCTAAAGGCTGCATGAGGCTGTTACAAGTAATTCCCTGGCTATCGGTTATATTGTATAAGGATTTCAGCGGTAACTGTTGCCATACACATAAAGGGTCTAACTTCAATTGAGTTACATCAGTGTAAAACCAGTGTAATGAAGTGTAGGATCAGGTCCAAGGTTTTCAAACTTAGTTTGGTGGGTCTTGCCAGTGCATGTATTTGTTAACACTGAGCTCAAATGTGTAGGCTGCTAAAGACTCCATGGGGAATGTCAGACTGACAATGACAAAGGGCTTAAACTTGAGGTTAACTTGTAGTAGTTTACTTTGGCAAACTGTCATCTGGAGAAGAGTTCCCACTAGGATCTTTGCTATTGATTTTATGTGGATGGCACACACACACTGGAATGGGCGGCAGTGTGAAGCCCTAATACAGGTTATATGGTCACCAAAGGAGCTCATGCGTGCAGGACAGCTAGATTTATTTCAAATACTCCAGGACAATGGGGACTGAGAAGACTCTGGAGGCAGCACTAGTGTCATAGGGTTTAGTTTCACTGAAAAAGCAGATGGTACAAGAGTGAAAAAAAAGCCCATACGTTACAAGGAAAACACTAACTTCATAGAAAACATTGCTTACCAGCTGTTTCTTGTGTTTCCAAAGAGAGCGTGTGTGTGTGTGAGACATATTCCCTGTCTTTCCCATTCATTGCCCACATTCAGCAGAAAAGAATTAGCATTATTTCATACCCTGGAAAAGACCATCAGTTGCCAGGAGCCCCATATTCGTGAGATAACAAACACATAATTTAATATTATATATTTGATATATTAAAACTGAAGAGTGTGTATGTGCACACACAAACACACACACATACTGCAGTTTTTTATTTACATGCTCAAAAGTGTGTGAAGTGTTTGTGAACTCCTTTCCATATGACTTTATCTCTATCTTTGCTCCAGAATCTAGGACATTTCATGATTCATAAGTTTCAGACAAATGGGAGCAGGCACTATGTTGCAAATTCTGTATTGCGGTCTAAATAGCATGGTTCCCCTAACATTTAGACTTGGAAAAAAAAACAGGTAGTTAGTTACCTGTAGGAGTAGATGGGTTTAGGAAACAGAGGCTGCTGGGATTCTTGACTCCCTTGAGGAGCGATTCTCTGGTAAGGATAGTGTGATGAGGTAATATAGGTTACAGGATAACTGCCTCCTGAGGAATACTGACAACATGAAAAAAGACAAGTTAATTGACTTAAAAGCAAAAGAAGCAAGAAACTCCCAGAAACTGTCTTTATTAATAGTAGCAATAAACATATTTTGGAGGATACCTTCCACCAACCCAATATGGCACTACACAGAAAAATAAAATATTGCATTAACTATTAGATTTAAAAAAAACCAAAACAGCATGAAATACTTCAAACAATAAAATACACCATGAAAGACTAAAACTCTAAAATAAGACAAAAGATTAAAACTACTAAAAAAACCTCTGGGGATAAGAAAGAACGTTTTTTAAAAGTGGAGATGAGATAAACTAAGACAGAAGCCCAATGGGGCAAATTCATTCTGCACCATAGGACTAAGCACAACAAAGCCTTCCTTGCTTGCTGACTAAATTTAGTCATGATGATGCAACTTCTAAAGGATGAGTGGTGTCAGAGTACACATGAAAACAAATAAATCCTAAAATAAGGAAAGCATCTTCTTCCGCTGCCCTGAGAGAAACATCAGGCAATTCATTTGTCCAGTCAGTAGCAGCCTAGGAACATGAAACTGAGCTTCTTTTTGAGACTTGAACTCTGAGCATTGTAAATAATTGAATCAATGGCCATTCTATTTTGATGATATTGCTGTAACAAAATTATGCAAATTGGACATGGGAAAACAAACTGCCATTAATAGGTCCCATCTAGTTTATTGCAGTACATGCAGGAGTATTCTCAATTGCACACCTTTTAATGCTTTATCCTGTCTCCTTTCAAAAGTCCCATGCTATGAGGTTTTAACTGCTTCCCTTGGGAGATTATTCTACAGTTTAACAGCTCTCACTGTCAGGAAATTTTTCTTAATGTTTAGCTTATATTTCTCTTTTCTTAATTTTATCCTATCCTTACTAATTAATATCTCGTTGGACCAATAATTTCCCTTGCTCCTTGTTTACATACTTTGAATATTTGCCAGTAGGTATCATGTCCCTTCAAGCTATACTTTTAATGGTTCAGTTCCTCCAGTTTCCTCGTAAATTCAGTTGCTTTTCTCTGAATTCCCTCCTGTTTGCCAGAGCCTTTTTTGTTCTGAGCTGCCCAGAACTGAATGCATTATTCCAGGTGCAATCTCCCCAGAACCATATAGAGAAACATACTGAACATATGAACTTGTTTGTGACAGTGACAAACAAGAGTGACAGAAACAGGACATAGAGAACTTCTCCACTTTCCTGTGTCCTGCTCCAGTTACAGACATACTGGGCAAAGATACAGCCCCTGGAACTACCATAAGTTACACCTCCAAAGGTGTCTGACTTGCCCTCCTGGGTTCAAAGTTGTTACCAGGGTAGAGAACTGGGCGTTTATACAGTAATTTTGATTTTATTAGTTTCAGTGGCTCTTTGGAAGCAAAGGAGACTGAGATGGAAATAACTGTGATGTCATTACCAAAAACAAGAACTGTGTGTTTTAAAGATTATTTCTGTTTTATTGGTTTCATTGCTCCTTCTTGAGGGACTGGCGCCTGGGGAAGGGTCCAGTATGATGGGCTTGTACTGGTTATGACATGGCATAACTGGCATGAAAGGTGTCCATGTTTTATGGTGGGTGGGTGACTTCAGTAAGAGCTGCATGTCTGCTATTACTTTCAGGTCAATAAGAAGGTGTTTCCTTATGAGTCTTTTTCTATCTTGTGCCCATTAAAGGGGAAGGGGAGACCATTTTATCTTACTGGCAGAATTAATGAGGGAGCTGACCTCTCACCTCTATATTGAGATGTGAGGCACGAGTTGGACAGCCTTCTGTCTGGCTAAAGGCCCCATTTGCTTGTGTTCCATTTTTAGCAAGCCAAATTGCTCTGCTCCAGTTAAGGTTTGCAGGGTAAAGCTTTGGTGGTGGTTCTGCTCTGCTGAAGACTGACCGCATTTCATTACAATAGTATTTCTCACAAACTTTGTATCATATGCGGCACTCACACCTTAGTGTCTGGTGCTGGACAGTAATTCTACCTACTGCAGCCTCCGCTGCTCATGCCTGTCATTTTCATCTCTGGGCACTAGCATATATTGCCATTACCTTTATCATATTAACTTAAAAAGGGAAATGCTGAAAATTATAATAGCAACCTGCTACATGTGAGAGTTCTGTCACAGTGCCAGCTACAGGTGGATGGAGACTTCCTTTCATGTAGTGCTTGTTGTGTCTTGCCCAGCTACTCCCTTCTTGTCTTGCTCAGCTACTCCCTTCTGTGTTTCAGAGGTTACACTGTAGTTTTTTTTTAACCCAGTTAATGCCAACATGTAGTAACAATATTGGCATCAAGTCAACACTGGAAAGGGATGGGGTATCTGCCTTCGTAGGAAATAAAGAACATGAAGAGAATGTACAAATTAATTAGCAGCCAAAATGGTATTTCTGCTAAAGTTACATGCAGTGTGCGGCTGTATATTTAAATGATGTGGAGGCAGAATGGTGCCATGGCAGCAGGCTGAAATCTGATTTTACTGTCTATATAGCTGCTTCATAGCTGCTTTCATTGTAAGTCTGGTTTTGGACTCACTCCACAAAAAAGGAATGTTCACTTCAACACTGGTAGATTCGGACTACCAATGGATGGAGCAATTTTTCTACTAAATTTGAGGTTAATCAGGCAAAGGTCTCATGAATTATGAAACCAAAAAAGAGCTGTTGGTGAGAATTAAAAAAAATAATGTAATGCTTTTTTTGCCACTTTATAGCTTAAAAAAAGAAGTCACATAGAGAAATTATGGTTTGCTGAACTCTTCAGGTTGAAACAAGTTCGGAGAACCAAAGAGAAAATTACTTTAAAAGTTATTAAGATTTAAAATTGTAATATCAACCTAGCTTGTTGGGAACTGAGGAGCTAATTTTGGCTAGTTGGTGGCTCCAATGAGATACAGCAGCATGCTAGGGAGTGCCATTGTGCCTTAGCCAGGTTTCTTATACATAGCCAGGGTAGAAGAAACACTCCTGTTCTCTCTGTCATCTTTCCCAAGGCTTCTGTTCTCCCAAATCCTCCCTGTATATATTTAGCTCCTGCATACTTCCTAAGGTCTGTTGGAAGGGTATTCAGCTCCTGCACACTATAGGATGTCTGCAGGGTGTGGCAGTTGGGGGCTGCAGAGAACAGGAGTCTTGGGGAGGGCTGGGGAAAAGATATGGTGGGCAATGCCCCAGTCCTGTGGACCTCCAGAGGTCTGTAGGAGAGGACAAACCTCCACATTGTTAATTAATAGAATTTCGGTAGTGCCCAGAGACCCCAGCCAGAAATGGAGCCCCATTGTGTAGGGTATTGTACAAACATGCAGTAAACGACAGTCTCTGTCCTGAAAGAGCTTGTAATCTAATTAACTACAAAGGGTAATAGGTAGGTACAGAACATAATGGAGGGAGTGGAGGCAGAGGGAAGACAAGGGTAATAGTAATAGGAACACATGGTTTCATAGATTTGCTATCTGCAAGACTGTGTACCTCAGGAGGCTCACTAAACCCTCTCTCCACCTGAGCCTTAGGAATCTCACAGGTGCCATCCCTGACCACCTTCTACCACACCTTAATAAGTTTGTTCCTTCCTACAGAGCCTGCCAAGGGGTGTTGATGCACTGATGAACTTCTCAAGGCTTGTGAAGATGTGGCTGGGGTGGGGATACCCATAGCCCCTTTTATGTTTTATGGAGGTATGGGAAGCTCCCCAAGAACATGCTAAGGCAGGGCTTATAGGGGTCAGTGGGCCACGAGCTTCCTAATACCTATGTCAGGGGTCCATGAGCCTCCCGAGACCTGCTGTGGGTGTTCAGAGCACAAAGTCTCACGGTGGCTAGAAGTTCAGAAGACCCCCCAAGGAATCATCTAAGGTTCTCCAGGAGTTTGTGCACTTACTCAAGGGGTGTCCTACATCTGTGCACCTCCTAAAATCTGCAGGAGGTAGGCTCCCCTTCTGCAAATCTTAGGAGGTTTATACTATAATAGTGAGAAAGCTGCAAAATAAATAATTTATGGCAATCAAGTACAGATAAGGTGATTTGTAGCTGTAGCAGCACTTGGCTGTTTAAAGCTGTGTGGACTACCCAGATTTTTAAAATATTTTTCTATGTGTATTTTTGTTTGAGGGTAAATATATTTTATTATTATTTATATATTAAATATATTTTATTTTTGTTCCAACTGTCAGAGTACAGTGGGTTTCCAGGGTTTAGATGGAGCTGGTAGTTACAAATGTAAAATCTTTTAACTTGTTAACAGAACTGGTTTTCTCTAGGAGTCATTGTAAGAGACTAAATAAGCAATACCATAACATTTGTATAGGCTATTTTTTCTGTGTAACCGTGTTTAAAATTCACTTATCTCTATTTCTCCTTGACAGTTTTTTCATAAGCAACATGAGACTATTCATGTAGGAACTTCCCAGCAAATGCAGAATTAGTTGATACTGTTCACCCAGTTCTTGTGTATTATAGTCACAGTCACCAGACCAGTATATTGTAGGACATTCAGTTAATTCAGTTGTCCACACATTGCACATACCTGGTGAAATGGGTGTGAGGGGCAGTACATTTGCTGTACTGGAGGCTGGTAACAGTATAGACTGGGCTGCCCTTCCAGTGGAGGTGTCTTAAGCTTGACCTCTGAATCCCGCTGAAATATATTCAAATAAGGAGTTATTACAGAAAACAACAGACGTGTAAATACATTGAACCTTTCAGTTACTGTCTCCAGTTTCCTTTGGATGTTTTCTCTGCCCTTCTTGGACTTATTTCTACTCAGACAAGAAGTATTAACAGGAATGTATTTCATCTGCTGGAGCTGTTAGAAGGAACATCCTCTTACTGATTTTTGTACAGTTGCTATTTAGAAAGAAAGCGGCTGTTGTTAAAATCCTCTAACGCAAATTGAAAAATCCAGAAAATGATCATTTCTGTTTGTCTTTTTTTCTTTACCGACCAGAATAACCCGCACTCCTTAGGTCTTTCTGCCTCTCTCTCACTCCTTCTCCACCCCCCCCCCCCCAGTTGTCAATAGAAGGAATGCACAAAGCTGGAGGGAGAGTTGGGAATCAAAAAATATGGAGAAACAGGTTACAGAGGAAAATCAAACTAGACTGACTGCATCAGCTAGCTTGATTGCTATAGAAAATCTAGTTGTAGAATAGGAGCTATCTCTAAAACTGCCAAGAAAGGCAGGTAGGTTGGTCAGACTTCAGCAGCTTTGGCCTCTCCCCTGCTGCCCATCTCTCTGTCTAGGATTTCACACACTTAGTGCACTGCCAGAGTCCTACGGACTTGCCTCAGGGATGCTGACATGGTACGAATATTCAAAATGCTTGTCTATCCTTCCAGCAGTAACAGCAGATAACAAGCAAAATCCAGTACGAGTGAAGACTGAATGGAGAGCTGCAATACATTTAGGGAGATTACTGCAGAAAAAGAGAGAAGCTCAACCTACATTTTGCTTTCTATTATAAAGTTGTTATAAAGACTGATGGACAGATTTGATCAATAGCTTAAACACATAATATGTGAGTAAGTGGGATAATTTCTAATAACCACAGAGCTGGCATTATTTAAATGATCCTGGCAACTTGATTAAACCACAGATTTGAGCTCTCTACCAACCAATGCAAACTGGCAGGGCAACCTCAGTGTTCTAAATATCTGCTTTTAAATCTGCTACATCACTTTAAAAATTATCACTGATATTTGTGTGTTATATATCAAAAATGTGTGTGTTCTCCTACTGGCTTTGCAGTGTCTTTTAACCACTTGGAACTATTCCAAGGAATGCATATACAGTAGAACTTCAGAGTTACGAACACCTTGGGACTGGAGGTTGTTCGTAACTCTGAACTAAATATTATTGTTGTTCTTTCAAAAGTTTACAAGTGAACATTGACTTAATACAGCTTTGAAACTTCACTATGCAGAAGAGAAATGCTGCTTTTAACCATCTTAATTTAAATGAAACAAGCACAGAAACAGTTTCCATAACTTCTTAATTTTTTTAAAATTTTCCATTTATTTTTAGTAGTTTACGTTTAACAGTACTGTATTGTATTTACTCTTTTTTGTCTCTCCTGCCGCCTGATTGTATACTTCCAGTTCCAAGTGAGGTATGTGGCTGACCAGTCAGTTCGTAACTCTGTTGTTCGTAACTCTGATGTTCTACTATAGTGTATAAGTGAGAAAAGGGAACTACCCTTCTGCTTCAGCAGCATAAGAGAAATAGCCAGACTGAGAACAAATATGGAAATATAATTTTCAAGTTTACAAGAGAGAACTGCAAATTAAAAACAATTAAGTCATTATTAAAAGGTCACATGCACATCTTATTTTCACCAGCATATTCAGGTAAGTCGGAAACCATATGAATCTGAGCCTGCCCTTGGCCTTGGGGATGAGGAAATATTGGGAGTAGAACCCCCTGACCCTGAACTCCTGAGGAACCTCCTCTATTGCCCCCAGCACGAGGAGTGGTTGCACCTCCTGTAGCAGGAGTTGCTCGTGAGAGGGGTCCCTGAAGCGGGACGGGGAAGGTGGGAGGGCACAAAATTGGATAGAATATCCCACCCCTACCATGCTCAGGACCCAGCGATCTGAAGTAATCTGGGACCAGGCACGGTAAAGTAGGACAGATGATTCACAAAGGGAGGGCAAGGATTTGGGCCAGTGCACCTTCAAAAGTTCGGCTTCGAGCTGGGGGGCTGCTTGGAGGAGACTTGACCCTGGCTGGGGATTGTGAACAGTGCTGCACTGATGAGCCGGCCTTCCGTGTGGGGGAGTTGTGCCGATGCTTCTTATGTGAGTTCTTCCTCGGTGCCGAGATGTCCCGCACCAAGGCCAGTGTGCTGTGCACCGAGGCTGCCAGTGCTGGCTCTTGAGCCAGTTGGGGCCGTAGAGCAGACTCCATCCAGAGAAGCTTGAGACAATAGTCTCTCTCCCTCTTAGTTCTGGGCTTGAAGCCTCTGCAGATGGTGTGCTTGTCTTGCAAAGGACCCTCTCCCAGGCACTTTAGACAAGCAGTGTGCAGATCCCCTCTGGGCACAGGCTTACTGTACCTATCACATGGCTTGAACCCCTGGGGCCACGGCGACAGGGAAAATATTGGGTGGAAACCCCCCAACTTAAAACGTACTGATACAACTGACTAACAATCTAATGAAAAGTAATAACTCTATACATGGAAAAATGCTAAGAAACGCAAAGCAAGAGACCAGTTGCTCCAACGACTGTCACTGGCGGTAAGAAGGAACTGAACAGGTGGCGGGTCGGCAGGGACCTATATACACCGCCACAAAGGCGCCGCTCTAGGGGGCTCCACAGCCAACTGGACAAGTACCGCTAGGGTAAAACTTTCCAATGATCGTGCATGCGGCATGCGCACACACCTATTGGAATGGACATGAGCAACACATCTTGATGAACGACAGTTATGAAAGGTAGGGAACCGTCTTTTCATTGTCACTAGGGTTCTGCCTTAAAACTTTCTTTTTCTGATGAACAGTGGACGAAATGTAGAGAGGAAACCTGCTCTTAATTGAAATAATGGATTTCAAAGAGTTGCAATTTAAAGGAGTTTACAGACTTTATACCTTTCCTTATATTTACTCTTTTATTAATCTCAAAGCAAGTAAAACATGCATGAAATATAAACAGCCCAAACCTCCTTATAGTAATCTGATCTTAGATTGTCCTGAAGCCTATTTATTGCTGCCTATAGAATTGAAATGAAACATTACAGTTTGTGAACATGCCTTGTGAATGCTGTACAGCAGTACAATTTTCCATGGTAGCATGCCAATTAAATGGGAGCCACCACTCAGTTAGGTCTACCTGAATCTTAGTTGTCAGGAAAGTTGAATATTTCAGGTCCACATATTGGGTTTATAGGGAAATCATTTCTATGGACTTCTAAGAATTAATTTTAATTGAGGAAAGGGAGTTGCAAGGGGAACTTCAACAAAAGTGTTATAGATGTCTGTTGTGAACTCTTGCCAGCAACTTTGAAAGACTAATTGTTGGTTCAGTTATGCCATGGATAACAGGAGTTATTCCCAAAAGTAGTTGAGGACCCTGATGATAGCCCTCTGTAGTATGATAACTCACCATGACTTGGGAACTGTGATCTTGGCCTGTGGGGTTGTACTGGAGATTGTTGCACCATGTCGGTTCTGTGGAAATGTTCTGAATATGTGTGGGAAAGGACTCTGACTCTCTAGTGCCTGTAGATCCTGGTAGCTCTTCAAAACCCTCAACGCTTCTTGCATTTTTGAAGGAATTACTATCCAGTGTGAGGGCTGGATGAGTATCTTGGAAGACATCTTCACTGAACTCTCTTTTATAAGGATGGAAGGGGTTCCTGCTGCTCTTGAGGAACCTGCCATAGTTTCCTGCAGTGCTTTCTTCATAGCTATACCTTCTGAATTTCTCAGCGTTGGGAGAGACTTTAAATTTGCACTTGCCAGAGTGAATTCCTTGGTTGGCAGGAAATCTCCCATGGATTTGATCCTGGGTTGGAGAAGAGGGACTTGGGCTGTGAGAAGATTCTGAACTTTTTCTTTCTGTCCTGCTGTCTGGATCATACGACTGGCAACTGAAACTGGGATTATCCTGCAAGGCAAAATTTACATACATTTAAAGACCATTGAACTCCAAGAGCTGGTACTTTCAATATACAGTGAACACTGGGCTACAGAAGTATATTCAAGGAGGGACTTGCAGATTCAGAAAGATCCTTCAGGGAAATCTGCATGAAAATACAGTGTTCCCTGCAGAGAGAGGGACCTTGAAGAATTTGCAGCATGTCATAAAAAACCTGTAATGGTTCAGTGATCACTAATCTACATAAGAACTTGTTTGTCAAGAGTCCTAGTTTTTAATTTTTCTAAATACACATCCAATTTGAATGGTTTAGTCGCACTAACACCCATTGCTGCTGTGACAATCAAGGGTATTCATTTAGTTCAATAAGCTACTGTATTGGGATGTTAAGGGGAAGCTGATGTATCCTGATGTGCGATGCCAGTTTGAGCATTTCTTGCAACTAAACAGCAGTCAGTGCTAATCTGGTTTTCACAGAGAAATTCTGTTCATTGAGGGACTCCTCCAAAAAGCAAATCCAACTCTAGGCCATTTTTGGCTTGATGGATGAATGAAGACCAATTTTAATATTATTTTATAACTGTCCTTCTCTTTTCATTCTTCAATCAAGCAAAACATGTCTGCAGGTAGGCCATTTTTGTTTCACAAAGAAGTATTATAAAATCATAGAGGTAGTTGTGCCAAGCTGTTTGGACAACTATACTGTTAATCCACCACCCGGAATTTTCATGATGGAATCATATTTGCTTTCACTGTAGTTGAATGCAATGTACCAAACCAAGTGGTGGACACAGACATGCCAAAATCATCAGCTATAATGTTACAGTATTCTTTTTTTAGCAAGCTGACAGTTTGAATATGTGAGCAGTAAGAGCCAGAGAATTTCTTTCAGTTCATGACTTAGTCACAATCAAGTCTGAAGCACTTGGTGATATCCTCCATTGGCAGGGGATGGACAAGATGGGTTAATCCTTTGAATCTCTAATTTCTATGGTTCTGTAAGGAAACAGTATAAAAATTACTTCAAAACCATTACTAGTTGTAAAATAACTGATTCCTATTAGAGGTAAGTTGCCTATTTTTGTACCTGAGTAATGAAGTCCATTAGAAGAGTTACCATAGGGCTTACAATTCAGCACCATATGTAAGCTTTTGACACTTCAGAAATATAATTTAAATGTTTGCTCTTGTACACCAATTCAGCATTCTTGGTGCCATCTGTTACCATAAAGAGTTCTGAATTTATTCTTGTGTTATTTCTTTGGATGGATAAATCTGAGTCCCAGTACACCAACTGTTAAGCACTGTAGCTGGGCTTGTCCTTGTTGGAAAGGAGAAAAGAGATTTCATGTCTTACTCACAGTTTGCTGAGCTGGGGAGCTTGGGTCCCCTTGTGTCTGCATGAGGTTGTCTTGTTGGTCACTTTCCAGACAGTCCGAAGAAGAGAATTTAATATTAGGTTGATCTTCAAGCAATGAAACCATTACCAAGTCCCAGCCAGGAAGAAATCCTGTTGTAATGGAACCAAATCACAATGAATATCAGTGTATATCTGCTTAAAATGATGTCTACTGTAAACGGACAGCCTTTCTTGTCCCAAACAAAGCTCTTGGGCTTCACCATTTATATACCTGTCTGACCAATGTTCCTCTCCCTCAGATTGTGAGCATTTCTAAAATCAGAATTGTGAAGTAAATCACCTGATTCTCTGGGGAAGATTCTGACTGCAGATATCCAGTCTAGTCACCCTGTTCACCAAAAACTCTACAGAATTACCAGCACACTGGCATTTTCCCATTACTTTCTGCTTAGGGAGAGGTGTTACACAGGTGTATCTACAGTGCTCTGCAGTGTATCTACAGTATGAGAGGTGTGATAGCCATGCTGGCTTACTATGGAGGGCACTGCTCTTCCATGGAGGATTATGCTTGTACTGTTGAAACTACACTGCTTGGGGGGTGTTATCTGAGGATAATAACACTGCTTTGTTGAGAGGTTCTTATGCAGATGAACCCACACTGTTCTGGGCAGGGCAATTTAAAGGGAAGGTTTATCTCTTCACTGATTAGATTGGGAGGGGTCATATACTTCCACTTTTTCATTGGTTAAAGGCACATGACCTTTTGACTTCTGCCTTACATCATTACATGTAGCTGAGATGTGTAAGTATCCAGCATCACTTAATGCTATGCAGTGTCATCACTCACATCTTCCTCTCTGCCCCTAACCTTTGATCTGGGACATTTCTAATACTATTGCTTTGTGTTAAGAGAAGCAAGTTTCATCTTTTAAAGTCTCATTTTGTGCTATGGGCTCTCATGGGTCTTGCTCTTTTGTGGCCTCACTGTGAGTCTCTCAGGCAGTAATAGTAATGGCTTATCCTATATATCACAGATGACCTTGTGCTGAATGTGCTGCCCTACAGAGAGATCCTGTCATGTCTGAGCAGTGCTGGAACTATGGAAGTTGCATTCCAGATGTACAAATTTAAAACCCTATCTTTACATAAAGAGTTAATCAGTGGAGTTTTGCTACATGTTTAAATGGCTGTTAGGTAAATAACTGCAGGGTTTTTTAGGTTTGGTTAAAAACGATATATCTTTTGAATATGTGAACCTTTTCTTTTGCCTTTATAGTTCAAAGAACAAAATCTATTTCAAGATGAGTAGGTCGGCTGAAATGTGCACTGCCCAAGGGAATAAAACACACTGGGGAATGGAAATCAGGTGTGAGACCTCTACTAGATCAGAAACAAGTGATGTTAGCTAAAGTTCAGAAATTTCTTGGGCCCAGGATCATCTCTGAGCAGCTTCTCTGGAGGCTGTCATGGAGGGAGCTTCTAATTATTGACACTCGTGATGAAAAGAGCAGGTGAGAAATGCTGACAACTTGGACATATCAGATATATTTGTAGATGTTGAGCGCTGGCAGCCCTGTTCTCAATATTAATTTCTCACTTGGTGGCTGACCTGGGCTGTAAACTTGAATTTTGACCAATTACCTCATTTTGTGGACCAAAAATTCAGAATCTGATTAGAAGCATTGGTCCAGCTACATACACTAAAGGCCTGGTGATACTGTGTTTTAAGAAGTCATTTGACTGATTCTCTCAGTAAGACTGATACAGGATGAGAAGTAACCTGATTCCAAGAAGTCAATTTGATGAGATGTAACTGAAGTGAGCAAGTCAGAGAAGAGCTTTGACTGAGGGTCACTAGTAAATAACGTCCAAACCTCAGCTTCTTTTTCTGTCTGCCATAGGCCCTGTATTCAGAGGGGTTACAATTGAGTTCCTGCTAGGGGACAGGAAAGGTCCTGCCTGAAACAGAACATTCAGGCTCTAGTTATTTGAAAGCCATTGGCTTGCCATTCTGAAAGTGGTCATGAGTAAATTTGGATTATATGGGGAGTTAGTACATGGATAAGGAAAACTAACTGTAGGATCTTTCCAATATAATGTCCTTAATTGCAGCCAAATTTTACCAGCCTTTGCCCATGGATTTTGTTTTGCTATCTCGGAGATTGGCATGAAAGGAACAGCCTGTCTGTCATCTTAAGACTAGAATCAGTTTCCCCCGAGCAGTGGAAATGTCTTATTGAGTATTGAACTAGAAGCAACCCTACCCTAGTAAAGTCAAACCAGTTGAGCTAGGGGCGTGATTCCCAGCTCACGAAGACATATCCGTGAGAGCTGTCACCGAGCTAGCCCGCTACGATGGGGTAGCCAGGGTAGACATATCCATGAGAGCTGTCACCGAGCTAGCCCGCTACGATGGGGTAGCCAGGGTAGACATATCCGTGAGAGCTGTCACCGAGCTAGCCCGCTATGATGGGGTAGCCAGGGTAGCACGGGTGGTGAAGGGCGGCAGAGCGGGCTAGCTGTGCCAAGTACAAAACTGCCTGAACCCTATGGGCGTAGCTAGTCTGTGCTGCCTCTTGCCATTGCCCATGCTACCCTGAGTAGACTCATATTTTTAGCGCTCAATGAGAGCTTGCATGAGTGTGTCTATGCGAGCTGGGAATCACACCCCTAGGACATAGGGTAGATGCGTAGCCTTTGTCTCCTTATCTGCCTTTGCATTTGGAACATCCACCGAAAATATACACACAGTATCTTCCCTCCCTGCTACATGTCAAGAAAATATATGTGTGTGCAGATCCCATGCTTTCCCCATTCATAGAATCATGGAATATCAGGCTTGGAAGGGACCTCAGGAGGTCATCTAGTCCAAGCCCCTGCTCAAAGCAGGACCAATCCCCAATTTTTGGCCCAGATCCCTAAATGGCCACCTCAAGGATTGAACTCACAACCCTGGGTTTAGCAGGCCAGTGCTCAAACCACTGAGCTATCCCTCCCCCCATTTTTCTATATTCCCTCACTTGTTTTTGTGTGCTAGAGATTAGTCAGGTTAATTGCCTTTAAGGACTTCTATTAAAATCAGATTTTCAGAACATGATCAAGCCCACTTAAAAAAATGTAGTTAATGGAATATCCTATTAATTTGAAAGTATAGTCTCTGCACTAAATTAAACTATTTTGTATGAGCATCATATTTATATGCCTGTTAAATATCAACTGTCAAACATTTTTCTATATATAGTCAATTGTAAAACACTTCTCCTGTCTCAAACAATACTATATGTTGGCTGAAGTACTCAGAACAAATGAGTTTTTCATTAACTACTGGTTCTATGTATGAACAGATTCAAGGGTACACTAAATGCAAACTATAAAATCAGTGCACCTTTGATGTAGTTTTTCTTTGTTCTAAGGTTATATCTATGATTTTGGAAAATGGGTACTGAGGGGATAGACATTATTCTTTATCCATAAAGGATTGAGGGGAAAAAATCTTCTACCTCGTTGGTTTGGCTTTCCATTTATTGGAAAATCCCATTTAAGAGGGAAAAAATTGTATTCAGTGGAAGTTGACAATAAGCAGGCTTGACTGTATAGTATAATAAACATGACACAGCGGCTCTTGGGAGAGAGGGGACTCGGAAGGATATGAACTCCCTAGAGGTAGAGCTAACTTGTCACAGAAAACAATGACCCTTTGATTTTAAAAAACGTATCTTATTCCCTTAGGAGTAGCTGAACTCATTTCTCCAAATCCCATGTTATTTCTGCTTTTGTAAATGTTGCATGACAGTCCCAGGCTCCCATGATAAGATAATTATCTTTAAAAAAATAAATAAAACAAAGCGAGAAACTGTAACCTCAGCTGAGTGTTTGGGTAAGCAGGGCAGCAGCAGCTGATCTATTAGCTCTGCATGACTGAAGCCACTGGCTCCAAGCCATAGTTGAAACAATCCTTGTTTTTGTGTCTTTCCTGGATATTGGAGGACACTCTGCCGGCGACACACTTCACCAGAGCTCGGCACCGGGCCGTCTGAGCACTCAGAGATGTGCTGAATGCTGGGTGCTACTGTAAATGCCTTCTGTATCCCTTGGGGCTGAGATCAGCTTTCATGAGAGGAAGGTGTGTTTGGATGTTCACCAATTCGTAATTCATTCTTCATGCAGCTTGCCTTAAGGAGTGTACTGATCCTAGCTTGACACCAGCTTTTGTGATCTGCTTCTTTCTTCTCCCCCCCTCCCAAAAGCACTAAATCATCTTTTTCCTCTCCAGCTCACACTGATAGCTCTCAGTAAAGAGACAACTATCTGGGATATTTTCTAGCAGCCTTTTATAGGGAAGTGCTCAGAAGGGCCATGGAATTTTAGATTTCCACTTTTCCAGCTGGATATTTAGAGTGACATATTTTCCTCTCATCATTCCCAAATTTCTAGCATTTCAGAGACAAGGCTCAAATCTAAGCCTATATGAAGTGATCCTGTAGCTGGATCTGCTCAGGCAGACCTCTGGAGCCTTGTGGAACCCCAGTGACTTCAACTACCTGCATATAAATTGGTCAAATGGCACAAGATTTACATCAGCAATTTCTTGATACCTTAAGTAATTGCTTTTTGGCACAACTTAGTCCTAAATAACATACAAAAGTTATTTCAACAAGTATCTATAGTTACTAGTCACTAATTAATAGTGGCCCCAGTAAAATTAAGTTCAACACCCTCAGGGGATGAATGATACCAAAAACTAACACAGGGACACTAAACTTTAAAAACAGGACGTTTTTATGTAATTTTGATGAGTCCACGCCTGGAACGCACAGTCAACCTGTGGAACTTGTTGCCAGGGGATGTTGTGAAAGCAAAAACTATAACAGTTCAAAAAATAACTAGATAAATTCCTGGAGGATAGGTCCATCAATGGCTATTAGCTAAGATGGTCAGGAATGCAATCCCATGCTCTGAGGGTCCCTAACCTCTGTTTGCAAGAAGCTGGGAGTGGACGACAGGATGGATCACTAAATGATTGCCTGTTCTGTTCATTCCCTCTGAAGTATCCAGCATTGGCCACTGTCAGAAGACAGGATACTGGGTTAGATCAGTGGTACTCAAACTTTTCAGGGTCACGCC